TTTTGATAAGCATGTTTTCAAGTTTCAACCATATTGTAGCATGTGTCACTATGTAATTTCTTTTTATGACTAAATAATATTCCATCATATGGATACACTGCATTTGTTTATCCATTCACAAACTGAGGAATCTCTGGATTGATTCCAATTCTTGGCTACCATGAACAGTGCAGCTATGAACATGCACACACAAGTATTTGTTTGAGCACCCTTTTTTTGGGGGGGGGAATATACCTGGAGTGGAATTGCTGGGTCATACAGTACTTCTATGTTTTGCTCTTTTGAGGACAATCTTTTTTTTTTTAAGTTCTCCAGATGCTTCTATGTGGAGCTGGTGTTGAGAGTCACTAACGTACAAGATGAATGAGGACTTCATAGACATTTGGTGGAATACAGTTGGAGGAGGTGCAGAGTGGGAGAGGCCGAGGCAAGACCTTGGGGAAGCATTTCAAAGACTGCCCAAGAGAGCACCCACAAAAGAGCCAGGTGACCAAGGGGAAGAGAGAGATGCCACAGAAAGAGAAAAGAACCCCTTAAGGGGGAAGCCCTCAACACAAAATGCTGAAAGAACTGAAAATCAAGAAAGAGTCTGAAGGGTTGGCCCCACGTGGCCAGGTGGGGACAGGGGGCATGCCTGCTTCACCAAGAGCCTGATTTCAAGGAATTGGGGCAAACGTGGCAGGCAAAGATATCGAGGCACATATGAAAACACACTCCATTATTCATTATTTTCATGCATAAGGCAAAGATAACGTCTTGTCTCTTTATTCGTTCATGACACCTAAGAACATACAAAGCAAATATCACAATATTTGCAAACCCACAATAACAATCTTCTTGAACTTTTTTATACTTCAGCAAATAACGTGGCAGCATCCATGCCGGATACAATAGTAAGTTGCCCTAGAGTACTGGCTGGTAACTGCTCCTCAGACTATAATACAACCTGTCTAGGTTTTTTTTTCTTCTTTTCTTTTTTGAGTTGGAGTCTTGCTCTTTTGCCCAGGCTGGAGCGCAATGGCACACTCACGGCCACTCCAGCGTTAACCTGCTGGGCTCTGGCATTCTTTCTGCCTCGGTCTTCCAAGTAGCTGGAACTACAGACGTGCAATAGCATGCCTGGCTAATTTTTTAAATTTATTGTAGAGATGAGGTCTCGCCAAGTTGCCCCCGGCTGATCTCGAACCCGCGGGCTCAGGCATATCCACTTGCCTCAGCCCCGCAAAGTGCTGGGATTACACACTGAGTCACCGAACCTGGCCCTTCTTAGGATTTTAACCACATGAAAAATATTTGGGTATAGTAATGCACGATTGACCAAATTGTTGGATTCTAATTTCTGCAAAGTATTTAATAAGTTCTTGTACTTTCCTTCTTTCGCTGTCTAAAATATCGTTTCAATTTAAAGGTATTTATTTTTTTACAACATTCACCAATCTCTGAATCAATATTGATAGAAGAATGCTTAATGATTTCATAGAAAAGTTATTTTCTGAAAAAAATTACTTTCTTCTATTATTAGAGAAAACTACTTTCTTTTATTATTATCACAACGATTGCATTTTAAAACTGAAAAGTGAGAATTAAACTAAGCTTTAAGTTTGAAGTCACATATTAAATTTAGCTTAAGTTTAAACTTTCAATGAATACAAATAGTATTTCAAAGAATAGTGAGGACATTTGAAGTGTACAAATTTCTTTTTCTCTTTTTTTTTTAATTTTTAGTATTTTGTTTCCTCTTTTTGTTTCATCTTAAGTGTGGGATCAACCAAAAAATGTAAATGTCTCCTGGTACAGGAAAGGGGTGCGCTCTCCTGAATTCCTTTTTTCAATTAATGCTTCCATTTTGTGAACTGTAACCGTATTTAATTTGAAATTTCCTCTTTCTGTGCCAATTCCAGTTTGAACTCCTCTCTGTGAAGTCTTTAAGTGTGCCGTCTTCTGCCACATACAAAGCACTGAGAGGCAGCCAAAGCAAGAAGGGGGAAAAGAGGGTGTGTGTGTGTGTGTGTGTGTGTGTGTGTGTGTGTGTGTGTGTGTTTTGTATCAAGCACCTGGCAAGAAAATAGCATGTTCCTGTAAAGCCTCTCAGGCATTCCCGGCTCCCACTGAGGATTCAAACGGACTTGGATTTCCCTTTTGAAAGGGAAATAAGGTTTTAGTGTGTTGACTTAGAGCTACAGTTTACCAGACTTTTCCGCATTATTTGTTGTGTGTTTCTGCCAATGGGGGCATGGGGGTGGCCCTTGACCAGCATGGCAGCTGGCAGGCAGAAGCGACTTACTCCATGACTCCAGTCTAGGAGCAGGAAGAGCTGCCAATGCCCAGGAATTTATAAAAGCAGAGACCTACCTACTCAGCAGCTTCACAGCACAGACACAACGGGAAAATTAGGGGGGAACGAGTCCCACCCTCGCTTCTCTCCACCTTTCCTGTCATTTGCATGGCCCTGATCCAAACTACTCACATGGAATTCAGAAAAGAAAGCATAGGATCAGTCCAGCAGGGCACGTGGCTCACACCTGTAATTCCAGCACTTTGGGAGGCCAAGGCAGGAGGTTTGCTTGAGCCCAGGAGTTTGAGACCAGCCTGGGCAACATTGTGAGAAAAAAAATTAGCTGAGCTTGGTGGCATGTTACTGTAGCCCCAGCTACTCAAGAGGCTGAGGCAAAAGGATCACCTGAGTCCTGGAGATCGAGGCTATGGTGAGCTGTGATTGTGCCACTGCACTCTCTCCTGGGCAACAGAGTGAGACCCCGAATCAATCAATCAATCAATCAATAGAAGAGAACTTGTTAGATATAACCCCCAAAGCACAAAGGACAAAAAATAGATAAATTGGACTTTACTAAAATTAAAAACCTTTTGTGTTGCAAACAATATCATCAAGAAAACAAAATAGCAACCTAACCCACAGGATGGGGGAAAAACTGCAAATCATATACCTGATGAGATACTTGTATCCACAATATGTAAGGAACCCCTATAACTCAATAATAAAAACAATACAATGTAAAAAATATACAAAGGATTTGAGTAGACATTTATTCAAGGAAAATACACAAATAGTAGGCACATGAAACAATGATCAACATCATTAACCATCAAAAATATGCAAATCAAAACTAAAATCAGATGCCACTTCGCATCCACCAGGCTAATCACAAAGATAGATAGTGGTAAGTGTTGGCATGGATGTGGAGGAATTGAAACACTCATATGTTGCCAGAGAGAATATCAAAGGATGCACCCACTTTGGAAAACAGTCTGGCAGTTCCTTAAAAGCTTAAATACAGAGTTTACTACATGACCCAGCAATTCCGCTCCTAGGTATATACCCAGGAGAACAGAAAACCTGCATCCACACAAAAACTTTTACGTTGGTCTTCACAGCAGCATTATACATTACGGTCAAAAGGTAGAAAACAATACAAATGTTTACCCACTGATAAGTGGATAAATAACACATAGCATATACAAACAATGGAATAGTACTCAACCATGAAAAGAATACCATGTCAACATGCAACAATAGCCATGAACCTTGCAAACATTATGCTAAGTGAAAAGTCACTCAGAAAAACACCTCATCTTGTATGATTCCATTCATACAAAAATGTCCCCAACAGTCAAATCTGTAGAGACAAGAAAGTAAATTAGTGATTGTTTGGTGTTGGTGGAGGAAAATGGGAATTGATTGATCAGGGATACTGGGCTTCTTGTTGGGGTGATGAAAAGATTCTGAAATTGGTTGTGCTGGTGGTTACACAATGTTGTGAATGTACTAAATGCTGGTGAGTTGCTTGAAATGGGTAATTGTGTGGTATGTGAATTATTTCACAATAAAACTGTTTGAGACCTGGAAGCAATTCCAGGTGCAATAATCCTTCCTCACTATCCCAGGTCCCTGACAGCTGCCTCCCATTCATCGTTTCAAACACATCTGGATGTGTTCCTCACCTCACGGTCTTCCAGCATCCTGTGGCCACAGGCACAAAAGCTAAGTGCCTTTCCATGACAGAAGTTTCACTAGCCAGCCCCCCCCCCCCCCCAGCAACCCGTGCCCGTGCCCTTTGGGAACCACTCAGCTTTCTAGCAGTTTATTTTCTGTCTAATTCTGTCTGACTTCCACATCTCTATTGGAACTGGACCTCTAGGTAGCCAGTAGCCAACAGAAGGTAACAATTCCCATCCAGCCTTACAAACTTCATGAAGAACTTCTGGTTAGATCTTAACACAAAAATCAGTATCACGTGAGGCCAGGTGCAGTGGCTCATGCCTGTAATCCCAGCACTTAGGGAGGCTGAGGCAAGAGGACTGGCTGAGCTCAGGGGTTCAACACTGGCCTAGGCAACTTGGCAAGACCTCATCTCTACAATAAATCAAAAAACTAGCCGGGCACAGTAGCATGCGCCTGTAGTTCCAGCTACTTGGGAGGCTAAGGCAGAAGGATGGCCTAAGCCCAGCAGGTCGAGACTGCGGTAGCCATGATTGTGTCACTGCACTCTAGCCTGGGCAACAGAGTGAGACTCCAACTCGATAAACAAACAAAAATTGGTATAACATGAACCCGACCAAAGCTCCTTGTTAACTGAAAAGAAATACCTACTGAACGTCAGAAAAGAGACATCAAAGCCCCACACATCCTGAAGTTGAGCTCAGACATGAGCAGAATCCAGTAGGCTGTAACTTAGTCACTTCCCAGACCGGCTTGAGGCTGTGCTTTCCCAATGTATCCTCCATCATGGATATGACCAAAAGTCCTGATTCTTACTCCTTTTATCCCCTCAGAGGACAAAAAACAAACCAAACATGTGAAAACCACTAAGTGCCTTCTGCAAAATCTGCGCACCAACAGCTAAACATAAATTAGTAATTTTGTTTTGTCTTTTTGAGGCACACAACTTGAAGCCTTGAATTCCCATGCGTCAACGTCCTCTGCACAGACACAGGCTGCAGGCACCGCAGAACATGGACAGTGCCCGGCCCTCTTCCCCTACCTGCAGCAGATGACCGCCTTGCAGGACAGTGCCAGGTCCAGGAAGCTCCTGCGGACCTCGAAGGACAGTGCATACTTGAGCGTGTGGCCGTCGATGATGAGGGCCACGTCGTTCTCCTTGCCCAGCAGATTCCCAAGGTCAGTGCAGTGCTGAGTGATGGCTGCCCTTGTGGCCTGAAACAGGAGGAGGGGGAATCACATTGGGTTGAGTGTTGCATATACCCCAAACCAAAACAGAATGCAAAAGTGAGTTCCTTGAAATGAGAACACGCCCATTCTAATGTGAAATATACAAACTGAGTTTGACTTGGTACACCTCTACATTAAGATTTCAATGAGGGTCAGGCGTGGTGGTTCACGCCTATAATCCCAGTACTTTGGGAGGCTGAGGGAGGAGGATTGCTTGAGCCCAGGAGTTTGAGACCAGTCTGACAACATAGTGAGATCCTGTCTCTATAAACAAACAAACAACTAAATAAAATATTTTATTGGAATGCCCTCTAGGTCTGTTTTATGAATGAAAACATCCTCATGGCGAGATTCATTTGATATTTACAATAATCCCTTTCTTTTCACCACGTACATAATATTCTTGGTGCCTTGACAGTAGGAAGCGCCATATAAACAAAATGCTTTTTTGGAAAAGATGGCGTTACTACAACTTGAGTGGTAAACGTTAACGTTTTTCAGTTTGCACTAGGTAATCTTTCAAGCATCTAAAAGGCATTAGGAGAAGTAACATTAAGATAAAAGATTAATTTCTGTTCGTGAAGATCCTGAGGTTTTCAAATTAAACCATTCTTTCCATGTGTCATTAGGATTAAAAAAAGAGCTGATCATTTTCTCATGTTGAGAAAATATCTGATCAAGTTAAACTACCAAAACATTGCTACCAGCCTGAAAAGGTTGCCTACAGTGTGATGTCTATTATCACATGAAATTAAAACATAGAACTACTCTTCGATTTAAAAAACACAATTCCAATCTTCCCAGTGAATTTATGACTATGAATATGCTACCTGGCTCAAATACATGAATGCAATTTTTGGCTCATACAAAAAATCTGGTTTAAGTAAATCAGGAAGTAAAGAAGTCAGCTGAAATTATTCTGTCTGGACGACGGTCTTTAGTTATTAAGTTACATTTACATGCAATTTATCATATGATAACACAAATTATAGTCTTACAGAAATATGCTGAATGAACAGGAATCTTTCTACCCCAAGTTAAATTGAGGATCTACTATTACCAAGTGAGAAGCAAGCTTTTCACTGTCTTACTGTTCAATTTTTTTTTTCTCAATAAGCGACTTCTAATAATACCAGCAAATTTATTTACAAAAGTTGTGGTCTAGAGCCCTGCACTATGGTCTGATGGCCTGGGATCTAGTCAGAACTCTTCCCTTGTTACCTCTGTGATCTCAGGAAAGTAACTCAGTCTCTCCAAAGTGCAATTTTCTCATGTGTAGAATAGAGCTAAGAATACTTCCTAGCACTTTTCTTACAAACAAATGAGCTCATCAGTGTTAGCTGCTTAGTACTATGCATGGTGCATTGTAAACACTCAACAAAACTCATTCTTCTTCTATTTATTCATTAAGAATATCCTCTATCAAGGAAAATATACATTTCTTCTACTTCAGGCAGTGAATAAATGTCCTCACTGGCAATACCTTCTTTGTTGCAGTAACACAAGCAGACCTCACTTCATTGTACCTCACAGATAGAGTTTGCCACAAATTGAGGGTCTGTGGCAACCCTGTCTTGAGCAAGGCTACTGACACCATTTTCCTAACGGTATGTGCTCACTTCATGTCTCTGTCACATTTTGGTGATTCTCACATTTCAAACTTTTTCCTTATTATTCTATCTTTTAGGATGATCTGTGATATCAGTGATCTTTGATGTTACTATTATAATTGTTTGGAGGCACCATGAACCGCACCCATATAAGATGGTGAACTTTAATTGATAAACGTTGTGTGTGATCTAACTGCTACACCAACTGTCTGTTCCCCATCTCTCTCTTTCTCCCTGTTCTACCCTATTCCCTGAAAGACAACAGTATTGAAATTAGGCCAATTAAAAACCCCACAATGGCCTCTAAGTGTTCAAGGCAAGAAAGAGTTACCTAACTTTACTTTAAATCAACAGCTAGAAATGATCAAGCTGCCGGGCTCGGTGGCTCAGCCTGTAATCCCGCGCCTTTGGGAGGCTGAGGTGAGTGGATTGCCTGAGCCCGCGGGTTCGAGACCCACCTGGGCAGCGAGACCTCATCTCTACAATAAAAAAAAATCAGCCGGGCGTGGTAGCGCATGCCCATAATTCCAGCTACTTGGAAGGCTGAGGCGGAAGGATCGCCGGAGCCCAGCAGGTCGAGGCTGCGGTGGCCGGGAGCAGCCACTGCACTCCAGTCTGGGCGACAGAGTGAGACTCCAACTCAAAAAAAAAAAAGAAATGATCAAGCTTAGTGAGGAAGGTTTGTTGGAAGCCAAGACAGGCAAAAACCTTGACCTCTTGCACCAATTAGCCAAGCTGTGAATGCAAAGAAAAAGTTCCTGAAAAAAATTAAAAGTGCTACTCCAGTGAACACACAAATGATCAGAAAGCAAAACAGACTTCTTGCTGATATGGAGGATGTTTGAGTCGTCTGGATAGAAGATCAAAGCAGCCACAACATTCCTTTAAGCCATAATCCTAACCCAGATCAAGGTCCTAACTCTTCAATTCTATGAAGGCTGCGATAGGTGAGGAAGCTGCACAGGAAGCATTTGAAACTAGCAGAGGTTGGCTCATGAGGTTTAAGGAATGAAACCATCTCTATAACATCAAAGTGCAGGTGAAGGAGCAAGGGCTCATGGGGAAGCTACTGTGAGTTCTCCAGAAGATGTAGCTAAGATCACGGATGAAGGTGGCTACACTCAACAACAAATTTTCAGTGTAGATAAAAGTCTTCTACCGGAAGAAGATGCCACCTGGGACTTTCATAACTAGACAGGAGAAGTCAATGCTTGGCTTCAAAGAGTCAAAGGACAGGCTGACTCTCTTGTGAGGGGCTAATGCAGTTGGTGACATGAAGTTGAAGCCAGTGCTCATTTTCCATTCTGAAAACCCTAAGGCCCTTAAGAATCATTCTAAATCAACTTCACCTGTGCTCTATAAATGAAACAATAAAGCCTGGTTGCCAGCACATCTGTTTGCAGTATGGTTGATATTTTAAGACCTCTGTTGAGACCTACTGCTAAAAAAAAAAAAGATTCCTTTCAAAATGGTACTGCTCATTGACAAGGAACCTGGTCACCCAAGAGCTCTGATGGAGATGTGCAAGAAGATTAATGTTTTCATGCCTGCTAACACACTATCTATTCTGCAGCCCGTGGATCAAGGAGTCATTTTGACTTTCAAGTTTTGTTATTTAAAATACACATTTTGGGCCAGGTTCGGTGGCTCAGTTTATAATCCTAGCACTTTGGGAGGCTGAGGCAAGTGGATTGCCTGGGGCCACGGGTTCAAGATCAGTCCGGGCAATTTGGAGAGACCTCGCCTCTACAACAAATCAACAAAACTAGCCGGGCATGGTGGCATGCACCTGTAGTTCCGGCTGATGGGAAGGCAGAGGTGGAAGGATCTCCAGAGCCCAACAGGCCGACAGTGGGGTGGCGGTGAGTGTGCCACTGCACTCTAGCCTGGGCAACAGAGAAAGACTCCAACTCAAAAAAAAAAAAAGAAAGAAAGAAACACACTTTGTAGGGCTATAGCTTCCATAGATAGTCTGCTAATAGGTCTGGACAAAGTAAACTGAAACCCTTCTAGAAAGGACTTACCATTCTAGATAGCATTAAGAACATGTGTGATCCATAAAAGGAAGTCAAAATATCAACACTGACAGGAGTTGGGAAGAAGTGGATTCCAACCCGCATGAATGACTTTGAGGGGCTCAAGACTTCAGTTGAGGAAGGGACTGGAGGGGTGGTGGAAACAGCAAGAGAATTACAAGTAGAGTCTGAGGATGGAACTGAGATGCTGCAGCCTCATGACACAGCTTGGACGGGTAAGGAGCTGCTGCTTACGGGGTGAGCAGAGAAAACAGTTTCTTGAGAGGGAATCTGGTGACGATGCTGTGCATATTGCTGAAATATCAACACTGGGTTTAGAAACATTCCATAAACTCACAAAGGGTTTAGAACATTCCATAAACTCAACTGATAAAGCAACAGCAGGGTTTGAGAGGACTCGCTCCAGTTGGAAAGAAGTTCTGGTGGTAAAATGCCATCAGACAGCATCACGTGGTACAGAGAACTCTTTCAGGAAAGGAAGTGAGCTGTTAACTCATGTGGCAAACTTCACTGTGGCCTTATCTTAAGAAATTGGCACAGCCACCCCAATTAATCAGCAACCATCAGCATCTAGGCAAGGTCTTCCACAAGTCAAAATGATCATGACTCACTGAAGGCTCAGATGATCGTTAGCGTTTTTTGAACCATAAAGCATTTTTAAAATTAAGGTATATTTTTAGATGTAACACTACTGCACACAGCAGACTTCAGTATAGTGTAAACATAACTTTTATGTGCACTGGGAAACCAAATAAATCGTGTGACTTGCTTTACTGTGATGTTTGCTTTATTGCAGTGATCTGGAACCTTGACTGTCTTGGAGGAATGCCTACAATAGACAAATAATTCAAAGAACAATGCTCTGTGAATGAAGGGGAAATTGGCTTTTATTAAAAATAAAGGAAGCTTTATACTTTGTTATTAAATAGTTGTGTAATTCTGAATCTCAAACAAGCATCTGAAAACATCTACAAAGGGGGACCCAAATAAACAAAAATCTATTTATAAAAAATTGTGTATTTATTCTTACATGTTTAAGTTTTTGTCAGCTTCAAAGTACTCTCTGTTGGATGCAATAGACCTACCGAGACGCTTTTTCCACTGCTCAAAACAGTGTTTGAACTCGTCCATTTGGATGCCTTTCAGTGTTTCTGCCATGTTTTGTTTCACCTCTTCCACATCGGTAAGACGTTTCCCTTTGAGGACATTTTTTTTTTTATCCAGGGAAACAAAAAAGTAAGTTGCTTGGGGTGAGATCAGGTGAATAGGAAGGGTGGGGCATAAGGATCATGCTGTGTTGGTCAAAAACTGAATAATCAGAGCAGTGTGGGCAGGTGCT